ATTCTGGGAGTTGAAGTCCACCCCTCTTAAAGTTGCCAAGGTTGAGGAACCCTGATGTAGAGCATCTGCAATGCATAGCGACAATGTGTTATTTTGAAGGCAGGCAATTAGGTCCACTAGAATTATATAACACAATGAAAGAATGAAGGTTTTTTTTCTTTTCTTTTTTTGTCCTCTGAAATCTCTCTAGTTACCGAAACAAACAAATAAATAAACCCCTCAAGGTGGAACTTTGAAAGAGGACAATCCTGTTAGCCGAAAAGAGGATATACTGTAACAATTTGTAGATGGTCTCTCATATTTATTATTAATGAGGCTTCTTAACTTTTTTCTAAAGAATTTGGCAAGGAATGGCTTACAAACTGCAACTTTTACATGGAAACTGTTCTAAAAATCCCTGGTATGGTAACAAACTGAGGTACCAGTTATAACACATATATATCCTCAGGTCTGATAGGTTCTGAGCCTGGCATGGACACAGATTGCTGGTAATCCAAGTGGTGAACTGCGATGTGGGTTAATGGCTCTGCAGAAAATTTCAAACTAGATGGAAAAGGTGAAAGAGAAACAAATGTATTTCCACCATACAAATTGATGAAGGAGCTTACAGGCATGCCATGAGGTCCAGGATCCCCTCTTTCTCCCTGTAACCACAATCACTATGTTAGATAAAAGATGACACTTATTTGTAACAATTAATTATTACGGCTTACCGATTTATGTGGAAAAAAGGAAACACATAGAGAACATACACACACACACACACACACACATATAGAAAGAATATATGTAAACCACAAATAAATCATTTATGTGTCAAAATAATTTAAATAATTATTTTATTCCACTCTGGATTATTTCACTTTTTTTTGCAATCCTGTGTACACTTATACTGGACTAAGAATCATTGATATACATTGAGATCACTGTTTTTAACTTGTCAGTCTATAACTTTTACATATAAGTATTAAAGCTAATATTGATATGTCTAGTCATATGTATGTACTCCAAATTAAAGTACACTGAATTCCACAGAATTCACTTTCAAATAAGGATGCATAAGATCTCACCCCCACAATAAACTATATCAATAAAGATATGCTTAAAAAGACAGTGCATCTTTGCCCATTTTATTTTCCATTTATAAATCCTAAAAAAAAAGAATTTAAAAGCTTCTGACTTGATCTTCATCATTTTTAAATAATAATAAATTCTTAAAGTGTATATGGAAAATATACTCTTGATTAAAAATATGGAAAATGGACTTATGATTCCCTAATCAACCTGGATAAAGTTCCTTCTCACAGTATCTGCTGTTATACTGTAATATTCACTTTCAGAATTTCCAAGGATTAACAATACAAATCTTGCCTAAACCAATGAAATTCTTTATGTGTGTGAGTCATGGCTCTTATTTATATATCTATAATTATTTACATAACTCTCTATCATGAGGCACTATTTGAACAATGATATAACACTCACAGAAGCCCCTTGAATGAACTCAGAAATATATATGGAATTTCCTTTTTCTCCTTTTTGGCCAGGAATACCCTATAAAACATGTTTAAAAATCATTATAAATTACAGAATGATGTTATGAGTTTGCACAAAAAACCTGAAACAATAAAGTAATGACTACCATGGTGTTTTGATACTCAATATACTTAGTCTTTTTGCCATAATGTGATTTTTTAAAGGAAGTTTTTGTTTCTGGAATGTACTCAATCAAAAAAGTTAGACAAACTTAAAGGAAAATAATTGGTAAAAAATATGTTTGGCTCCAAATATATCTTTCCCATACGAGAATAGAATAGCGTTCAGCAATTATGACCAATTGCTACTTTGCCCTGTCCGGATCTGCTTTCCAGGAAGGCGCAGGGGACACCAGTGGCAATAAGGATTCCACACTTTTCTTCCAACACTATGGCAAACTATATGTGTCCCCTTGAAGCTTTGGAGTGATCTTTTTAATCCCCTTCTCATTTGCTACCCCAAAATAACAGCAAATAGTTTGCCCCCAAATTTTCTTCGAAAAATTATCTGACTGGAGTGGTATATACTTAAGACTTAAGCTAAGTTTTATTAAAAGCTAAACTTCAGAAATACTTTGAAATTTATATTCTTATCTTTTAAATTTAGCTTTTTTAATCTCTTCAATTACCACCATTTGATTTTAAAAAGTAGATTAACTGTATGCATGCAAAATAAAAATTTTCTAGGTTTTTTTTAACAGTTTAGCTATAAACCTACAAAACTGTATACATATGGGAGCAGTTTAGGTAAATGTGATTTCCTATCTTCTAAACTTCCCATGCCCTTTTTCTGTATCTTAATCTCTGCTTAATCTCTGCTGGGAACAGAATACTTTTTTTTTTTCATTAATGTATGTAAGTTATTAAAGTTTCCTTCCTTTCTCTTCCATTTCCCTGGGCTATACTCAGACTCAATATGATTCCTGGCCCAAAAACAGTTCCTTATACCTGCTCTGGTCATACTGGAACTGAATGGAAGTCTGAGTCCAGCTCATATTGAGCTTACATTCCTCTCTCCACTATACTTTGATAAAATTTTAGGGAATTCAAAGATGTTATAGAACATATTAAAATGCATCTTCATTTCAACAGAGGAAATACATCTATATGCACATCTTCTATACAATGAAGTGAATCCTGCATACTTAAGAAGATATACATAGAAATCAGTGGCATTTACAAAATAATCACAAACTATGTAAAATCTAATAAAGTTCAACTCACAAATGAGCCTTTGGGTCCAATGCATCCAGCCTCTCCTGGAAATCCTGGATCTCCCCTTGAACCATTACATCCATCTACCCCAGGCTTCCCTCTGGGCCCTTCAATTCCTGGCAGCCCCTATAAAGTAAAAAGCATTAATTCTGTATGTTTGCTAAAACAACTCATCATTTACCTGTATATATTAAAAGAATACATTATGACACCCAGGATCAAAACCCAGATAAGTTGTCAGGTATCTCCAATAAGGTTGGTAACAATCATAAAAGTTGAAATCCAATATATCTAAATGACACCAGATTGGCAAGGCTGACCTTGATGATATTGCCCCTTTAATGGTTAAACATATCTGAAACTGAAAGCTAATGTTATGGGTACTCAGAGGAACAAATTAGGCATACATTAGGCATGTATATGAATCCTGTGGTTAAAATTCTACTCTAATTTTTATAAACATTAACAGGAGTTCCAAATACAAGCTGTTACCATATTGTATATGAACATGCATGCTTTTGGTGTCATATTTATCCTGTCATTTTCTCATGGAGCGTCTTCTTTCAGCTGCTAATTGCTCCAAATGTGGCAAGCTGCTTTGGGGGCAAACAGCAGCTCCAATAGGGATTTTATTAAAATTTCTACGCCACTTTCATACTAATTTCTACCCAACTTTCATTCAGATAAAAACAACAACAGGAAAAAAAACCTAATAGACCAGTTTCAGTGGAAAACCAGAAGATTCACAGAGAGGAAGAAAAACTGCTGCTAACTAGGTTCTAAACTAGTCCATCTTACTGCCCAGCTCAAGGATTATAACAGTCCTTTACAATGAAGATGTTTGATAAGGACCTTCAGAGTCCTGGGTTTTTTTCAAGCGACTTCCCTCTTCTCCTCTTCTAGGTAAGGCTAGCTGTTGTTGCAGGTAATGAACAGCTACTTCTATACTAGCTAATTTCCTCATAAGCTGCAACTGTCTTAGAGGCGTGTCTCACATATTTAAATGTCATCAAATAGAATGTTTTGATTAGGCACTATAAAGTACATATTATCAGCATCAACAAACATCTCTAGGAAAGGTACTGCATAACTGGGGTGCCACTGTTGAAAAAATATATTATTTTGGGGAATTACATAATGTAGTGCACAAACCTATTGTGTAGGAACGTAATGCACAAACCTATTGAAATATCAACACTCTACAGTCTTACATGATATACAGACACGGGCAGCAAACTTACAGGCATTCCATCTAGACCTGAAAACCCTGGGACTCCAGTTGGACCCTGAAGAAATTCATAATGTAGTGCACAAACCTATTGTGTAGGAACGTAATGCACAAACCTATTGAAATATCAACACTCTACAGTCTTACATGATATACAGACACGGGCAGCAAACTTACAGGCATTCCATCTAGACCTGAAAACCCTGGGACTCCAGTTGGACCCTGAAGAAATTCAACATTACACAATATTAAAATATGCATGGCTTTAAAAATGATTTGTAGAACAATTTTGTATAATTTGATTTGTTCTTCTTACCATAACAAGATTGAAAGGCAGAACACTCAGTCATCAACTACCATTAGATAGAAGTAAATTGCCACTTTATGTAACAAATCAGAAAAGGCAGACATCTGAGTCTAAGCCCACTCATTACGTCAGCAGGGGGTGACACTTGGCCAATTTGCTCAGAATTGTAAAGTGAAGTGGGTCTGGTTTATATTCAGGTGGGAGACCACCACAGAATACTAGGATTATGGGTTAGATTGCAAACAAGCAAAAGCAGGTCCTTCTCCTGACTTAGAAGACATATTTTCACTCCTGTTTTTTACTTCTTATTTTCCAGAATTGATTACGTCATATAGTTATGACCTAATCATAACTGTATGACCTACATAAGGTTCCAGGTACAGTAACACCAAGCAAGAGTGGGAAAGCAATCTGACAGTTAGGAGAGCTACTATCATCAAAGTACGCTACTTTCATCAAAGAGGCTGGAAGGATAAACAGTGTGACTCAGTATAAGATAGTTTCATAGAGATTCACAATCAACCATCTAGACCAAGCTAAAGCAGTAGCATGGGCAAGTTAATCTTACTGCGTTGACTTATACCACAGTCTCTTTCAAATTGTGTAAATAGCTTCATAAGCAGATACCCTGCTTTTATCTTGAAAATTAATTAAAATATATTATATCTTGCAATATTTAATGTTAGGGCTGTGCAACACTTTGAATTCTAAGACAAAAAGATGCTTTGGAAAGCATGAAGAGAATGTAATTCTGCAAGTCCTTAAACCAAATGCATATTTTCCCAGGACCATGCAGCAGCTGCAGAGGATCGCCACGAAATTCCAAGAAAAGTCAAAGCTGCCTTAAGGAGTTGCAGATATTGCTACATTTGTGCCTCTATATGCTCCAAATCCACCTTTCTACCTTCATACAGTACAGTATATGAAACATTGCACAGCTCTGTTTAATATCCTTAATTTGAATACTGCAGACTAAGCAACACTAGGTCAGTAATTTCAGAAAGGCTGCATAAGACTATTGTATGTTATTATTTATTATGCACCATATTTCCTCTTTCACCAGGTGGCCCAGATAGACCAGTATCACCTCTCTGGCCTTTTTCTCCTGGCACACCGATGGGTCCAGTGGAACCCAGACCACCAATTGGACCCTGGACTCCTGGCTGGCCAGGCTGCCCCTGCAAAGTAAAAATAATTCAGATTAATCCCTATGTAAAAATAGCAGCAGCAATAACAACAAGAAAAAAAATTCAATGGAAGAAAATAGATTATGCAGATGTTAACGTTCATATATGATTTCATATCTCATAGTGTACATATAATACTGAATACATTATATTGTAGCACAGATTTACATATAATATCGCAGCCTTGTGCTAAATATACTTTGAAGCCACAATCTAGTAAAAAGAAAATATATCTTAAATATAACCACTAGAGGCAACAAAAAAATTCAAATTATATACTCCATTCACAGAAATCACATTTAGATAAAATTAACATAAATACACATACAGAATGAAAATACTCAGATTTGAAGGCAGCTATCTCAGGGATCTCTTGAACAAATTACTTCTCTTTGACACATATGTGAAATAAATAGACCTCTTTGAAGGTTTGGTTTAACAATTATTCCAGCACTAATCTTATAGGCAAAACAAATATCATTTATGGCTTACTCGCTGAACTAGCATGAATCAGATATTTCAATTCTTTTCTATAAAGATGTACAGTAACAGAAACAGGCCTTTTAACTGGGTCCTCTTTTCCCAATAAAATCTGTACACACCACAGCAGCAATATACTTTTGATCCAAGTGTACCAGGGGCTGTGCTGATTGGCTACTCCCAACTTTCTACCTATTTAGTTCAAATTATGATTTTTGTTTTCATCACAAGTACACGGGGCTATCAAAGACAGTGCTTTGACTGAGATACATTTATTGGGAGATGCATACATAGCAATAATTATATATTCTAGTTATATTACAGATTAGAAATTAGTGTAAATAACTACAGGGGCTTCTCCTCTTGAGCAAAGGACAACTTGTGAATAAGCCTATACATCTCAGAAGACCAGATATGGCATGGTGGGATTTAGTCAAATCTAGACCCAGTCAAATATGGTTGTGTAAATGCTTCAACAGAGGTGCAATGGGCAGAGTACCTTTCTTTGAATCATTAAAGCAGACATGTCTTTTTCCAGGGTTGCACAGCTGTTTTGGAAACTGCTTCTAGCTGTCTCAACATGTATATGCACATACAGCCACTCTTGTTTGCTGGATGAAAGCCTTGGAGACAAAAGACAACCCCAAGATCCAGGGATAATAGTTCATCTCTACTTATTATGGAATACAAGTACCCATTCATTCTTTTTTTTTTTTTACAAGTTAAGTGTCTATGTATTTCCTCCTCATTTAAAAAAAAAAGGATATTAGAAGGATAGCATAAAACTCAACACTGAAGCACTTTAGACCACTATTTCCCATTAAGTTGCAAAAGAAATGAATCTCTCAAGGAACAGATGGCTCCGTTCCAATTAATATATTTTTATCTCTCCAAGGAAATCATTTTATTTATGTGGATCAATTAATTTCAAAATATTTGAAAATATGGTCCAGATAAAGAAAGGCTTAGAGCTAGGGTCAATCCTATTGTTAACATTTCTCTGTGTGTTTGTGTGTGTGCGTGCATGTGCACACCTTTGAGTCATTCCTGACTCCTGGCAACTGCCTGGATGAATTCCTGCAGTTTTCTTGGCAAGGAAGAAAGGGCTTGGAAAGGCTGACTGGTTCAAGGCCACCCAATTGGCATTGTGCTGAAGGCAGGACTAGAACTCACAGTCACAAATACTGCCATTTAAGCCATTAGCAAATGCTCCCATTTATTTAAAAATAACTGAAGATGTTAGAAGCTACATATAATATGGAATGATAGTGCTTAGTATAATTAGAATAGCTGTTTAGGCATAATGGAACTTACTATTTTTTCAGTGGCCATATGCAACCCATGGACTGCCAGCTGCCTAACCCTAATTTAGAGAAGTAATAGAACATGCTAACTAAATCCAGAATTCACAGTGAGGTTAATAGTTGATTGATTCAACTTAAGCACACCATGTGTTCCTGGTCTTTCTTTTCACTCAAAGACCAATTATGAGTAGCAGCTTTGTTAAGAACAAGTTGATAGCATCTATAACATCCATTATTTGCGCTCATCTAATGTGACCACTGTGGTATTTCACTCTCAGGGCAGCTGTAAAAATAAAGAGGGTGAAGGAAGCCATGCTTAATGTGAAAACAACAAATCAGCTCAGTGAAATAGGCAGAATGTTATGCCTGGCATCTCTTCCTAATTCTAATAAATTCCACTAGCTTGCTGTAGTGTTCCTGCAGAAGACTGGCAACAAGGTGTAGTGGTGTGATCCACTTTTCTCTTGGTATCTTACATAAACTCCATATTACTCTGTACCACCCCATATTGTATTATTTCTTTCCTTTGCACTCTGACTTTCTTTTGATTATCCTCTAATAACCTTATCTTGTATCGACCTTATTGCACACACTGTCCTAGACTTGTGTTGTTTATCTCAACCATATCGCTATAATGAGGGGATGTATAACTCTTCAAAAGGGAGGGTGAGTTGATAGATGCCAAGAAAAGACATCTCCCCTGGAATATTCTTAGCAGGCATCTCCAGGTGTTAAATTAGATCACTCTCTCTCATTTATGGAAAAGTATTTAAGCCAAGAGAAGTCAGGGTGATATTGTGAACTTCAGCATAGACCCAACTGAGAAGATGCTATGTTCCAGCTGGCACAAAAAAGGAGTCTGTCTGAAGTCTTTTTCAGAGTTCCTGTCTGCAGAAAGGATGTTTAGGTATACTTTCTCTTGTAGTTTATATACAGTGACTTCAGTAAACTGTTGGGCACTTTGCTCTATGAGTGTGTTTGTTGTCTTGAATCCTAAAAGAACTTACTGGCACCTATCTGGGCATTGGGCAGCAGAACACTTGCTAACTGTCTAAGTCAGGAACATTTCCAATGCCAAGACCAGTCAATCATACTTTAGCACATCCTGGACTTGACCTAATATAGATGGTTGAATTCAAACCAAACCAAACCAAGCCAAAGCAAACCAAACCAAACCAAACAGCTTCATTTGAAAATGAGATGGCTCTCATTAAAGAAAATATTCCTTAACCATTTTTTTAAGAAGCAACAATACTATGTATCATATAAATGTAGAATATGCTTATTTTCTTTATTTTCTGCCTCTGCGATTATGACAAATTATATGGTTGTGTTTTCTTCTGCAGGAAATCTAATACTATCTCAGGAACAGAAGCCCTATAACAATATAAAATTGAATCATTTTTATAAAGCAATGGTACTGAGATTTTCTCAAATTTCAGCTATGAATTTTGCATTAGATATATTTAGTCCTGATTCATTTGGGAGCCTTTCCATAAAATTTTCTTGGCGAGGTTTTACAAGGTAGGCCGCCAGGTCTTACCTCAACCCTCCCCATTTATCCGGGCTGGGGACTGGCGTGCAAGTGCATGGCTGGCTCCTGCACATTCCTTGGTCAGCAAAGGTGACAAACAAGCAAGTCCTGGAGTGTATAAAATCAGACATATCGCTGGAGGGTAAAATAAAAAAATTACGCCTTACTTATTTTGGCCATGTCATGCAATCAAACTCACTGGGAAAGGCAGTTATGCTCGGAATGGACAGTGGTAAAAGGAAACAAGGCCACTAAAAAACACGGTGGCTAGACACCATCAAAGCTGACACCAGCCAGAGCACAAAACAACTAAAAGAAGCCATACAAGATCAGAAAATGTGCAGAGAGCTGGTCCACAGAATTGCCGAGAATTGTACATGACTGAACAGATAGCATCATCATCATATTTAGTCCTATTTTTTGTTCAGTATGTTTGATATTAAATATAACTTTTGGTGGACCCGTCCTTTTTTCTCACAGCTAGAACAGATTCCTTAATGCTTTTCCTTTGATGGGAAAGAAATAATGAGGGATTATAGTGCACTAGAGCTCAATATGGTAGACCTGGCCAGCTGCCTCTCTAGCAGGTGCTGGTCCTAAATATGAAACTTTGGAACATCTACAGTTGCTTAAAGGTGAGAAATATGTAATATATACTCTTTTTATCTGAAAGGAAGACTGGTTTTCCTTATAATTTATTTTTAAAATAACTGGGTCTTGTTAGATTTACTGGGAACATGGTAATGGAAACAAACATGTCTGTTTCTTCTTTAGGGAACATGTTAAATTCAGGACCATCCTCCTTTCAAGTAAAGATAATAAACTGAACATTTTTCAGAAAAAGCACATAAAGGATTCAGTATGTAACTATTTTTCTCATTAAAGGCATGTCTACTTTTTTAAAAATATGAGATAGTTCAGTATGTTTTGCAGTAGCTAGAAATAAACATTATCTTTTTTTGATGGGAATATCTCCTGTGCTGCTAATTGTGTTGCAAAGGATTTAAACAGAAACCTTGAATGTTCCTATAGTGATTTATTCTGCCATAGAAGAATAGAGCTCAGCTCAGAGTTCATTTTGAAAGTTCACTGTGGAAAAACTTTTTCTCAAATTATAGGAAATCAAAAGTATTTCTCTGGTTTTCTTTTTTATTCAACAACCATATATTAATTATGGCTCTGATGAAACTGTATAGAGGGACTGAAAGGCTGACTTTTAAGTGTCTAGGGATATGTGCACTCTCAGTCTCACAGGGTGGGGAAACCTGATGCAGTGAGAGTGAAGGCACTGTAGAATTTCTTTGTTTTTTGAAGCATTTTGCAGATTTCCTGATGGGACTATGTGTGTGTCTGTGTGTATTTACAGAATATACACATACATATGTGTGTGCGCATATGTATGTGTGTATTCTGCAAATGATATAAATATAGATATCCAGACAGATATATGAATATTGTAAATTTCATGAGTGTATATGTATGTATAAACTGTGTGTGTGTGCAAGCTTATATATTTATATGCACAGACACACCCCTACTGATACCTTCCCCACTGCAGATGAACTTATAGTGGGGCTGTTACTAGTTACATGGGATGTGCAAATATTCAGAAAATACATAAGGGTATTCCATATAAACAGTCATTCATTCATCCAAGGATGACATGAATCGGT